GGAAGCTCACAGAGCGATTAAGCAGGGGAGTACCGCCTTCCAATTGTTAGTTTTAAAAGATCATGCCAGCTGCTGGCTGAAGAACAGACTGGAGGGAAAGGCTGAGCAAAGGAAGACCAGTTAGGAGGCCGTTGTAAGTGGGCAGGTGGTGATGATGGTGGCTAGACTAGGGTGGTGACAGGTAGAAGGAGAAGGACAGGGCAGACCCAACTATACTTGGTAATGAATTGGATGTGGGGGTGAAGGAAAAAGAAGACTCAGAAATGATGCTGGGGGTTGGGGCTGGAGCCATAGTAAACAAGGACATGCCCCAGAGGGCAGGAGAGGTCCTTCTGTCTGGGGAGTAAGGACGTCCCTGGCACTTCCAATAAACTCAGTCAACTGGAATACCGCTCAGTTGTGTTATCCTTGACGTAGGATCGTCGGGGGAGATATAGGTCTGGAATGTGTCTGCTTTGGGGGAGTGAGGAAGAAATGTCTTAGGAGGCAAGATGTCTGCAGGAGGGATTTAGAGTCTGTCTTAATATTGGTGGGACCCAACTTAAAAGCGACTCTTGAGAGACTGATAGTTCAGACAGGGTGTCCATGTGGGATATGTTTACATGACCTGAAATGGGATGAGTGTACTAGCGGAACAAGGTGAGCGGTAAACAACAACCTGCAAAACTCAGCAGGATAGCACAACAAAGGTGTGTTTTTCACTCCCGTTGCATGAGGACAGAATGAGTGGTTTTGTTTCATTCAGTCATTCATTCATGTATTCATTCAACATTCAGGGGCCCCAGGCTCATTCCATCATGTGGCGCTGCCATCTTTAACACGTGGCCTCTCAAACCATCACAGAATGGAAATGGGGAATTGAGGGTGCATGGAAGATTTTTAGGGGTCCCACCTGGAAATGGCACACATCGCTTCCACTTTTATTCCATTATTCGGAACTCAATCCCATGGCATCAATTTAACTGCAAGGACACTGGGAAGTGTTCCAAGTTCAAATCTGGTGGGTAATGTTCCAGAAGAAGGGCCCTTAATGGCGAGCATTAGTGAGCAAGCAGAGTGGCTATCTGTCTTGGGGGAGCGGGCAGCACTGTCTGTCTCAGGTTGGGATGGCCGTGTGCTCTCTGAAAGTACCTTGGATAAGAAGCTGATGTGGGAAGACACGTAGGTGCCGGGCACACTCGTGTGCTTTGCAGAACAGAACAGAATCCTTCCGTTCCTTCCCATTCTCGTGGCCTTTATACAGATAAGATCTTTATCCCACACCTGACCACTGAAATAGCTTCATGAATGCTTTCTCTGCCACGATTTTCTTTTCCCATCAAATCTATCTGTGGATATCACAGCCTAAATAATCTTCCTAAGGCATGGCTTATGTCATTCTACACCTGTTCAATGATGACAATAACAACAATTTTAAGAGCAGTGACAATAACTTGTTGAACTACCATGTTAAGTACTTTAACTGCAGTGTCTCAACATATTTCAATTGTTATAACAAGCCCATAAAGTATCATCAGTATTCCCATTATACAGACAGAGCACCAGAGGTCCTGAGAGGTCCCTGGGCTGTCTAACAGGGTAGGCACTAGCCACGTGTGGCTATTTAAATTAAAATGAAAAAACAATGAAAAATTCAGCTCCTCGGTCACTCCAGTCACATATCAAATACTCAATAGCCACATATATGTAGTAGCAGACATTTTGGAGAGTGTAGACATAGAGCCTGTTCTTGGCAAAAAGTTCTGTTGAGTTATGGGAACCTGCCTAGGGTCACACAGTAAGCAGTTACTCCATCTGAAAGTAAGATCATCCAGCGGTGCCACATTGCCTCTACTGTCGAGAAGTTTCAGCCTGCTCTTAACTTTTTTGTATGATTTGAGCCAGCTACGGTTAGATCATTATTTCTCCTTAACTTCTTGTACAATCTCCTACTGCAGCATGACACATTTGCTCACTACTCTCCAATACTCCCACTATGTCTACTCATAATATTTTTGCTCTCCTCCTTTCTGTCTGCCCAGCTAATTAATTCCTATATGACCTTTCGGGTTCAAACAACTTTGATATCTGTTGAATCAGTTCTTTCTTTTTAATTTAATTAAATTAATTTATTTTGTGAGAGAGAGAGAGAGCTCAGGAGAGGAGGGGGGTGGAGAGAGAATCCCAAGCAGGGTCCACACTGCCAGGTGGAGCCCTACAGAGGGCTCCAACCCACAAACCGTGAGATCATGACCTGAGCTGAAATCAAGAGTCAGATGCTTAACTGACTGAGCCGCTTAGGAACCCCAAATCAGTTCCTTCTTTTCCGTTCTCACTGTCTCTCAACTTTCAGACTCCCCTCATCTCTTGCCCTGTCAGCCATACTGCTGCTGTTAATCATACTTGCTGACATTTATTGAGTACCTACTAAGTGCTAGGCACTCTTCTAAGCACCGACCCCTCATCACAACACTCAAAGTAGGTATCACTGCTGTCCCCATTTTACAGATGAGGTCATTAAGGCACAGGGTGGGTGAAGGACTTGTCCGAATGAGCTCTTGCCCCTAGTCTTTTCACAGGCAGTTCATCCTCATGCTATTACCCTGGCTACTTTTCTAGAACACAGAACTCTTACCTCCCTCCCCTGAGGAGGAGGACAGCTTTCTGAACAGAGCACAAAGGCCCTTTATGTTTGGAACCTTTCTAACTTTATCAAAACCCACCACTCCACACACTGACCACAAACCATAGCTTCCTGAATCTGAATCTTTCATGTTATTTCTTCCCTCTGGGCTGCAAACATTCTGTTCCCTCTGCCTGGAGTGTTATCCCAGTAAGCCAGCTTGGAAGCCACCCATGGCAGTACACCCTGGACCGTGGGGCTCGCTCCCTCCTCTCACTCCTTCACTGGCTCCTCAAGAAGGTGCTGAGCTTATCACATGAAAATTACTTCTCATTTAAAAATATGCTTCCACGATTCGAATTTAATAAGCCATGGATGGAAGGTCTATTTTTTTTTTAAGACGCTCCCCAGACTATTGTGAAGTGAGGCAAATGTGGCTTACATGGTTTATATCACTTCTTGGGCAATTAATCATGCCCTGCCTGGACTCCTTGTGATGATTATCATTATTTTTTTAAAGTTGTTGCTGTTGTTTGTTTTTTTGTTTGTTTTGAAGAGAGAGAGGCTGAACATGTGTGTGGGGAGGGAGAGGCAGAGGGAGAGAGAGAGAGAAGGAGAATCCCAAGCAGGCTCCACACTCAGCAAGAAGCCCCACGTGGGGCTTGACCTGATGACCTAACCATGACCTGAGCCAAAATCAAGAGTCTGATGCTTAACCAACTGAGCCAGCCAGGTGCCCCTCATCTTTACCATTATTTTATGCTTACCTTACTCACTGCATTCATCTAGATTCAACAATGTTCACTAAGGGACTACTATGTGCCAGGCACTCTCAGAGATGTTCATGGGAAGGAAAGTGGAAGGTCCCTGCTCACAGAGTTTACCTTCTGGAAGGGTGTACTGGGCAGAATGATGACATGGCCATGTCCCAACCTCCAGAATTTGTGAATATGTTACTTCACATGGCAAAAGAGATTTTGCTGGTGTACTTAAATTAAGGATCCTGAGGGGCGCCTGGGTGGCTCAGTTAGGCGTCCGACTTCGGCTCAGGTCATGATCTCACAGTTTGTGGGTTTGAGCCCCGCACTGGGCTCCGTGCTGACAGCTCAGAGCCTGGAGCCCGTTTCACATTCTGTGTCTCCCTCGCTCTCTGCCCCTCCCCCATTCATGCTCTGTCTCTCTTTGTCTCAAAAATGAATAAACTATAAAAAAATAAATAAATAAATAAATAAAGGATCCTGAGATGAAAAAAAAAAAAAATAGCTTGGATTAGCCAGGTTCTTAATCACAAGTGTCCTTACAGGGGAAGAGGAAGGCAGCAGAGTCAGCAAGAGAGAAGACTTGACAACAGAAGCAGAGATCAGAGTAATGTGCTTGCTAGCTTTGAAGACGAAGAAAGAGGACACTGAGTCAAGGAATGTGGGTGGTTCTAGAAACTGGAAAAGGCAAGGAAACAGAGTCTCCCCCCCCCCCCCTCAAGCCTCGGGAAGCAGGGCAGCCCTGCCATCTCCTTGATTTTAGCCCAGGGAGATCCACTTTTGGAATCCTGACCTACAGAACTATGGGATAATAAATGTTTGTTGCTGGAAGCCATTAGATTCTGGGTGATTTGGTGGAGCAGCAAAAGGAAACTAATAGAGGTACAAGCTGCTTCTGTATCTTGCAGGTATGTGATGGACCTCCGCAGCTAGATCATATGTACTTGAGGGCTCTGTGTTCTGTTTGATGTTCCCTCCCAGCTCCCTGTAGGAAGTGGGGGCCACAGCGGAAGCTCAATATACTCCTGCTATAGATTCTGAGAGTGGAGGTGACGATGGGTAGGAATTTGCGGCGGGGGCATGAGGCTCGCGGAGATGAAAGGAAGGGGAAGCTGTCAGTGTGAGCGAGGTGTTTGAGGTCACAAGGTGATGGTCCCAGCGGAGGCGCGTTCTCAAGCTCCAGGATGAAGTATCTTCTGAGGTTGGAGTAAAAAGCCTGGGGGAGGGAATCTGGCGCAGGGGCAAGGGTGGAAGGAATCCTATTCACTGTGTACGTTCCTATTTCCCAATTTTTATATCTTAATTTTTAACCAGAAATTTACATTAAATTTTAAACGAGACTTCTATTCAGAGATAAGCCTGTGAAAGTCGTCACCGCAGCCGGCTTGTGTACATGTATTTCCGGGCCCCGCCCAGGCCCAAATATCGAGTCCGAGGACGAGCCCCGGAACGCGCCTATTTACCAGGCACCCCCAAACCACCCCGAGGCCCCACGCCCTCACTCCGCGGAGCTCGGGCCGCGAGGTGCGGTTCCGGGCGCGGGCGGCCTCCGGCCGGGGAGGGCGCTGTGCCTGCGGCGCGGGGGGCGGGCCGGGGGCGGAGCGCGGGGCGGCCGGAGGCTCCCGGCTCCCGGCTCGCACGGCTCGCCGCCCGGGCCCCGGCCCTGCACCTGTGACTGTCGCGGCGCTCGCCCTCCCCGCCCGGCGCCCGCGGCCCCATGGCCCCGTCCCGCCTGCAGCTCGGCCTCCGCGCCGCCTACGCCGGCCTCAGCTCCGCGGCCGGCTTCTCCATCTTCCTCGTCTGGACCGTGGTGTACAGGCAGCCGGGGACCGCGGCCATGGGGGGGCTCGCAGGTACCCCGGGACGCGCGGCGGCGGCAGGGGTGGGGGGCTCGGGGTGCCGGCTGCGGGAGGCGCTGTCTGCTGCTCCCGGAGGCTCCCCGCGGACGGCGCTTCCCCGGGGGCCGGGGCGGGGGCGGGGAGCTGTTTACCCAAAACCGCCGGTGGGCAGCTGGGCCCGGGCGCCTGCGGGAGCCGATGCCCGCCCGAGTCCGACCCGGCCAGCCTCCGCCGTTTGCACGAAACTGCCGCGCCGCCGGCCGGGCTGCCGGGTGACAGCGTCCTCCCCGCGCGCCGGCTTCCCCGCCACCCTCCTTACGACCCCCCCACCCCCACCCCCACACGCTTGTGCCCGAGGATCTCCGCTCCTCGAGCGCCCCTTGCCTGGTGGCTGGGTGAGGCAGAGGAGGAGTAAGTGGAAAGGAGGGCTGGGGGGTCCTGGGGAAGCCCCTCTCCCTCCAGCCAGTGCGGACCCCAGCCCCAGCAGAGCCCTCAGCGGAGACCTGGGGGACCGTGCTAGGGATCTGATAGAAACTGGACATTTTCTTCCCGGCACATCGGCGTGGCTCCTCTGGCAAGGTCTGAACGCCGTGCTGGCTGCCTTTTCTGTGCTTTAAAGAGCAGACGGGGGGGTTGGGGGGGAGGCAAGCGCTAGAGCGAGAACGTCAGGGTGCTGGTGGAGGCAGGGTCCTCACCAATACGCTGTTTTCGCTGTGCAACTTTGGGCACGCAACGAACCTCTCTGTGTCCTAGAATTGGTGTGAAGACAAAACATGTTCTTTCTACTTGCCAGCATTGCTTTCTGATACTTTCTGTGTGTCAGGCACTGTGTGCTGTGTGTCAGGCACTGTGTTGAGCATCCTGTTTCTATCATCTTTACATTAATCCTATGTAGGCATTATTATTGTGCCCATTTTGCAGATAAGGCTTAAACTGAAGCTTAGAGTAAATAAATAGCTTGCCCCAGGGTTACATAGCTACATGAACTAGTATGTGTGGGGAAAGAACTTTGGGAAAGAACACATAGAAGGGTATTACTTTTACATATGGTGACCTTACTCCATTACTAAAATCCTCTGTCCCAAAGAGCCCTAAACGCACTAACTGAAAGTAACTATATTTACTTATTGCCACCAAGCTTACTGAGTGCCATCCCTGGTAGAGAAGGAAGGGGAGGTGGGATTTCTGCCTTAAAAGAGAAGCATACCCACAGCCTAAGTCATGCCAAACAGAGCCTTTTGGGGGCATCAAGGCAGGGGAAAGGGCACCCTGGCTGGGATGCTCTCACGCCACCTAGGTGCCCACCCCCCACCTGTGGGTTTCTCCCCTCCCTGGAAGCAGCTAGCCCATCACTGCTCGGTTATCTACAGACCCCTGGCTCCCTCTCTGTGCCCTAGCCCCCCAGCTACCGTGTTCCCGAAGGTTCTCTTCCTGCAGCTTGGTGTTTGTTCCTGTTGGCCCTGCTGCTTTCTGCTTTCCCCTCGGGAAGGTGTTGTCTTCAGCCGAGGCCTCGTGGCTGCGCTGAGAAGCTGAGATGAAGGGTCTGCTTGTGGCTGAGAAGGAAGGGCCGTCCAGGGGACCAGAGCTAGCTAGTGTGTCAGACTCCGGTCCCCCGGGGATCTGAGCCCCGCCTGGCTACAAGACCTTGGGCACATTGATGCCTCCTGGGCCTCAGTTTCCTCATCTGTAAGGTGTGGGAGAAGATATGGCTGACAGGTGATCTTGGAGGCTCCCCTCCAGGTCGGAAATGCTAGTTTAGCACTCTCTCTCTCTGCAGTGTTCATTTCGCAGCTGCCTCTTGGAAGGCTGTGGAAAAGGCCCTGTGGCCTGGACTCCAGGGAGTTTGGGGTTTCCCTCTGACCCAAACTCTGCCCTCTCTCCCTCTGGGAAGGCTTCCCTTGGCCTCTGAGGCAGCCCAGCTGTGGAGGGGCCTGCAGGGAGCGGCACTAGTGCAGCCGGCCGCTGGAGCAGTCTGGCCTTCCAGACAAGCTGGATGTGCAGCAGAAGAGCCAGGCTGCCTGGTGGGGGTGCAGTGGTGGGCAGAGGGGCCCCCCCAGGGCAGAGTCCCCGGGCCTCTCCAGCCTGAGGGGGTTCTGAGGGAATCTGTAGCCAGTCAGCCTCCTTCCTCTTTTGGGGGTGAAGCATCAGCAGATTTACTGACTTGTGAGCACCCCATTTCTGACTTGGCATTTTCCAGCGCAGAATATGCTGAGTCACCGGAGGGCAGCCCCAGTGCGCTCCTTCCTTCTCCCCTGCATGGGTGGAGACCGCTCTCTCCTACCCTGAGGGGCGTCTGGGAAGAAGTGGCTTGGAGGACAGGCGGTAAAGGGGTAAAGGCGGTTGCAGGGGACATGGTTTCCTGGGGGAAACACAGACCCTAATCCCTGGACACAGAGTCTAGTAGACCAAGGAAAGATAGGAATAGAAAAGTCGCTCCAGCAGTCTAAATGGCCCCGGTTCTTCCCACACGAGCTGGGAGGGAGGGCAGCACTGGGGCTCAGGGGCTCGCTTTCCCCCAGGGCAGGGGTAGAAGGCAGGGGTACGAGAACAGACTGCAGCCCCGGCCTGGGTTCCCACCTGTCTGAGCTTCTCTGCGGGCTCCCCTGGCCTCCTCCTGGCTCCTCCCCTCCAACCCAGCCACTGGTGATACTCTCACTGGCCACCTCTGCTCCTTCCTTGCCCTTGTCCTGTTAGCTGGGAGCCCCAAGTGGAGCAGGGGCTCCACTCATTGAAGCAGGTGGGGTGTGGTGAGGGGTGAGGTCTGGAGTGGGTCTGCAGGCCCCAGGAACTGTCCACTCTGCCCTGAGCTGTACAGACCAGGCTTCCTGGAATCCAGAGTATCCTGGGGAAGATGGCAGACCTCGGGGACAATTGCCTCCTGCCTGAGGCGTGGGAGGGGACTAGTGCAGGCTCCTGACCACCTTGGGTAGGTCCCTGTTCCAAGGGCAGTGGTGGGAGTCCTCATGGGTGGGAATGGGCCTGCTTCCAGAAGTGCCTTGTGTTTATCTGGAGGCAAGGCCTGTGCGCAGGGGAAGTGAGAAGTGGGAAAGGTTGTGCCTGCTTATTAATTACTAAAGAACTAGTACATGGAACACCTGAAATGGCCATCTTCCTTTTCCTACCCCCTTTTGGTACATGGATCGGGGGCGGCGGGGAGTTCTGGGGGCCCTGCTGCAGCATGGCCAGTGGCCTAAGAGATGGCATTTCCACAGGGCCCTATTTCAGCATTTCCTAACTCAGAAATTGCTGAGTCACAGAGGAATTACTCTGACCTCCTTATTTTTCTCCTGAGCGGGCTCCAGAGTGCTTGAGTGGTAAAGGAACTTAGAGCTCCTCTACTCGAGCCCCTCTGCGGAGGACTGAGAAAGAGGGTAAGCAGAACAGTACCATGCAGATGCCCATTAGACTATTCCTTCGATGTGCTCAGTGACAGTGTGCCTTCTTCCTAGGGCCCTTTAAGAACCCAAAGGGCATCCCCAGATGAACACTTAGGATGCCTGTGAGAGGTCTGGGAGATGCTTCTGGAAGGGTGGCTGGCACGTGCTCCAGATGGTATAAGATGTAAGCTGAAGCTGCAAGCCACCTCTGGCCTGCTCCCTTGCTGTCTAGGGGAGGATCTCACAGCTGGAGGCGTCCACGTTCTAAGCCCCTGCAGCAGGTTGGGGTGGGTAGGAACAGAGTTGGGAGAGTGTGGGTCAGACAAGGTGGCAGGGGAGGCAGGGGGTGGGGCTGGCAGGGCTGAGCCCTCTCTAGGGTGGAGGCCTGGGGTTAAGGAGTTTCCAGGCTGGTGGGACCTTTGGGCTCCCCCATTTCTAGATGTGGAAATACAAGGCTCTGAGAAGTCACGAGCAGCACAGTAGTGCCAGGCCCCAGGCTTCCTGGCTTCCAGTCTCGTGGTTTGCCGTCCCTTGCCAAGCTGCCTGAATGTGACAGCTTCTGCGCACTGATAACCAGAGCATAGTTCTGTGACAATGCTCCCTCCTGCCAGCCTCTTTTTCCCTCCTAACTTAAAAAAAAAAAAAAAAATACACACACACAGACACACACACACATATATCTGTGTATATATATATATGTATATATATACACAGATATATATATGAAAAATCTTGGGCATGTAAAAAAGGATAGATGATTTAATGAACTCCCTTCTACTTAGCACCCGGTCTAAGAAAATATCACAGTTGATGTACTCTCCTGCCCACAGTCTCCTGTCAACTTCTCTTCCTTCTCTCCCTTGCCCGAGATAACCGCTTTCCCCAGCCAGAGGCCAGCCCTTCCTGTGCACATAGGCTATTCTGCATGCAGTGCGTGCGGCTGCCTCTCGGAAAGGTCTCCTGACTCCGAGGATCCAGCAGCCTGTGTAGCCCGCACCCAGGTGGAGAGCTTAGCTGGGTCTGCCTCGCTCCTCATTCCTTCCTTGCTGGGACCCCGTGGCCCTGCTCCAGACCCTTGCCAACGGAATTGATATTTGTTCCACTCTTGGGGCTGCACTGGCAGGCATGGCCTGGCACCGAGGGCACTCATTGTATTGGCTGAGTGGCAGCTGGCAACGTAGTTTGCCCCGAGGGGAGGCCCAGGAAAGGCTGCCCTCTCAGCAAACTGGAGGGAGTGACATGGACTCTGGCCAAGAGCAAGAAGGCCACTTGGGTGCTGAGTGGCCTTGGGGGTCTCACTGCTGGGCCTCCTCACTCTGTAAGACCTAACCATGGAGTTGCGAAAAGGCCACTCTGGCCAAGAGGTCAGCCACAGGCCTTGAGGTGTCCGCGTTCTGGCCTCTGAGGGCCAGGTGGAGCAGGAGCATCTGGGTGAGAGGGCTGCTTCCCCTCTGTGGCCCTCAGGGCAGGGAGTCACAGGTTCTTGGAAAACAGGCTGGACTGCATTGATCCCCACACCTGCTGATGTCAGGCCCTCTTCACACCCTTGAAAAGTAGGGAAGCCCCAAGGAAATGTTGTTTACGTGGGTTCCGTGGGTTCTGTCTATCCAGATGCACCGTACTAGATATTAAGACCGAGAACATTTTCATGCATTTTGAAGTAATATTAGCAATTACATTGAGTCACCATAAATAACATTTTGGTACAAGAAATATTCTTGTTTTTCAAAACAAAAAAATTAGGGAGAAGAATGGCATGGTTTTTTTGCACATCACTTTAACATCTGGCTTAACAGAAGGCACCTAGATTCTAGGGGCACCTGGGTGGCTCAGTCGGTTGAGCATCTGACTTTGGCTCAGGTCATGATCTCACCGTTTGTGGGTTCGAGCCCCGCATCCGGCTCTGTGCTGACAGCCAGCTCAGAGCCTGGAGCCTGTCTCAGATTCTGTGCCTCCTTCTCTCTCTGACCCTCCCCTGCTCACACACACTCTCTCTCTCTCTCTCTCTCTCTCTCAGAAATAAATAAAACATTAAAAAAAAGAAAAGAAAATCCGTAAATGCAACCTTTCTAAAAAAAGAAAAAGAAGGCACCTAGAGATTCTCTTATTTACTTTTGCATTCAAGTCCTGCCAATGCCAGGGGCCTTGGAGCGAGCTTCCAGAGCATTCTACTCCGTAGTCAGGAGGTGGTGAAAGGCCAACTTCATCCTAATATCATTATGCAAACAGCTCTGGCCTCTGGGGTTCCGGGGTCCCTTGCCTGGAGGCCTGTTCGAAGAAAGGGGAAGGGTGGCCCGATCCCTGGGCTGACATGTCTGTCCTCCTCCCCCCTCCCCCACCGCAGGTGTGCTGGCACTGTGGGTGCTGGTGACGCACGTGATGTACATGCAGGATTACTGGAGGACCTGGCTCAAAGGGCTGCGTGGCTTCTTCTTCATGGGCGTCCTCTTCTCAGCAGTCTCCATCGCCACCTTCTGCACCTTCCTTGTGCTGGCGGTCACCCGACACCAGAGTGAGGGCTGGTCAGGGAGGGAAGGGCGTGGGAGGGCCATGGTGGGGGCGGGTGGGGGGGTGGCTAGGAGCAGACCCGGGATTCTGGACCTGGTTACAAAGCTTGTGTCCAAGGGGGTTGGGCAGATCACTTAACCTCCCGATGCCTGGGACTTCTCAGCGTCAGGGAGGGGAATGAGTACCCTCCCCTAGGGTTGGAAGGGTTCAGTGAAACGCGTGGGAAGTGTTGAGCGGGTACGCGCGGGGGCGCGGCAGGTCAGCAGTGAGGAGTGTTCTTAGCCCAACGGGTTAGTCCTTCTGCCCAGCTCTGGGATGGGAGCGCCCCCTGGTGGCTGCGATCTGCAAGTAGGCAAAGGCCCTTCCTGGCCCTAAGGAGTCAAAGGCTAAGCAGGTTGGAAGCGGCCCAGGGTAAATGTAGGAAGGCACAGTACATGATACAGACCTATGTTTGGCCAATCCTGACCTTCCCTCATCCCCACTGCCTCCTGCCTGCATACCCTGAATGCTTTAAAACAGCTATCACACCCCATCTCTCCTGGAGTTTGTGGGGACGGGGTGGCCCTGGGCTGTGGCATGGTGGCTGGGGTCCAGGGCAAGGTCCTCTCAAGTCACGCTTGGGTTCCTGTCCCCCGCAGGCCTCACAGACCCCAACAGCTACTATCTCTCCTGCGTCTGGAGCTTCATCTCTTTCAAGTGGGCCTTCCTGCTCAGCCTTTATGCCCACCGCTACCGGGCTGACTTCGCCGACATCAGCATCCTCAGCGATTTCTGACCCGAGGGGTGAGGTTTCTGGACCCCAGGGGTCCTCAGGACCTGGACTCAGCCTCAGAGACACCAGGCAGGCCTGCCACACCCCCTGGAAACCCTAGATCTGTGGCAGAAGATACATAGCAAGAGGACTGCGGTCTTTCAGGAAGCTGTCCCATCCCCGCTGTGGGGAGATCTGGGTGCGGTGGAAAGGGGTCCTTCCTGCCAAGTTGCTCCTCCTCGGCCTGGCTGGAGGGCAGCTTTTGGCCTTTTCAAATGGATCTATTTTCTTAGCCCTCAGTGAGGAATCTTCCTAAGGAGGGCCAGGGCAGTGAGTCAAGGGGTAGGGCAGTGAGCCTTGACCTATGCCTGGGGGCACTCTCCCTCTGGCCAGGCTGGGAAGCTGAGAGGTCAGGCCAGGTAGGGGATCTCTGGTAGAGGCTTCTCACCCCCCAGCCTGTTGTCCTTGAGAATCAGGTGGCTTCACTCTTCAATCCCAGAGATGGCAATACTTGGCTCTCTTTTCCCGAGGCCTGGGGACCTGAGAGTTTAGTGTCCCTCATCTCCCCAGAGCTGGTCTCCCATGAGTGTGCTAGAGCCACTCATCCTCATCCTCGCCATGCCCAAGCCCTCTCTTTTACACATAGCACCACCCTCCCCAAGCAGGACTCCCTGAACAGGGCCAGACTAAGTGTCTGTGGAAGGTGCCCTGCCCCCAGAAGGGCTGTGGGGAAGGGGGCAGCGTGGTGCAGGCTGGAAGGAACCCCTCAACTCTTTGCCCATGCACCTCCACCCCTACATTTCCATCACTTTTCACACGCGTTCTCCCTGGCCACGAGACACCCCACCGATCCTGCCCCTGCCCACTGCCCTTCACCTAGAGCTTTTGTCTTTTTTAATCTCCTTTCTGAAGGACCACATCTGCTTTTCTGCCTATACACTGGCACAAGGGCTCATCTAACCAGGAGGGAAGGAGCTACTGTTACATAGGTCTTTTTATGTTAGGTTGCCATTTTGCACGGTCTATCCTTTCCCCACCTGATGTGTCCTGCCCTTCAGCTCTTTGCCTTATCTGTGTCACTGTCACTTTAGCAGAAATACAGCAGCCATTTGTATCAGATAGGCTCTGGTTGTTTCTTGAGGGGTGGGAATCTTGGGTGAAGTGGGGGCGGTGCTGTGAGCGCAGGGAGTAGGCAGAAAGGGCCATGGTGGAGGGTCTCTCGTTAAACCGTCTCCTTAGCTCAAGCTGTGCCCTGGAGGGCAGGGGGAGATCTGTGTCTCAGGGGCTGGAGGCCCTCTCCCTCTGGCCCCTCTTGGCATGGGGGAGCCCAGCGGCTTGGCTTTCAGCCCATCGATGCCCAGAGGCACAGCTTCAGCACCCCCAGTGGTATTTAGTGTCTTGTCACCCAAGAGGCCAGAACAGAAGTGCAGGGGTGAACCTGTTTCCGTTCGTGTTCTCCCAGGCTGAGGGCTTGGGGCCGGGTCTGAGGTGACGCAGCTGCTGTGCCTGCTGCCTGAGAAACCTGGCCGGCTCAGACCTATATAAAGATGGGCGTCGGCAGCCTGGCACCTTCCTCTCTGGTGACTGGATGAGCTTGTCCCAGCCTGTTGCCTCATGCTTGGTCTCTTCCCTGGTGCATTCAAGCAGGGAGGGACCATAAACAATGTCTATTTCTGGAGTCTTTAACCGATAAACAGGCCCCAGGAGGTGACATGACTTACCCAAGCCCCCAGCTGGGACCTGAACCCAGGTAGGTCCGATTTGCCACTCTCTGGAGATATCTTAGCCAGCTGGGTCCACGTATCTATATCTCCACACTCTCGGTGGGCCTTGTGTGTATGGACTCAGCCCAAAGCTGCTGCCTCTTTATTACCCCCACCCGCCGTGGGCAGGTGGTGGCAGCTAGGGTGCGTTCAGAATGAATTTTTCCTGCAAGGGAGCTGTCACAGAAGGGCAAGGAGCTGGAGGGGGTGCCGGCCCACAGGCCAACCCCGGCCCCTCTTCTACACCAAACGAGAGGCACACAGTGCGTGTGGCCATATGCTCGCCGTACACCCCTCACCCCCAGGAGGCCCTTCCACAAGCACCTTTAAAGCAAATAAAACATTTATTGTTCAGATTTTTTTTTTTTTTTTTTTTTACTTTTTTACAAAAACATGCATACATACACAGGGTATGGTAGTCCTGGGGAAGACACACACACGTACACACACACACCCATATTCACTCACACAAACACACATACTCTTGCTCTCTCGCGCGCACACAAATACTTTCCTTCTTGGCCCCAGGCCTGGGCCCCAGAAGCCTTGAAGACTTTGCCAGGGTGGCCTCCCCTCCCCCATGTCTTGCATCCACTCTCCCACCCCCTTTCCCCTCAGCCAAGCCAATCCTAGGTAGGGCAGGAGTCCGCGCTGGGTGAGGGAGACCCCAGAAGAAGTCTCATGGAAGGGGGCAGTGACCGAGGGGGTCCCTGGCGCCCATGCCATGCTGCTGAGGGGAGATGAAGTTTGGCACCATTGGCTCAGGAAGCACAGAACTCCAAGAGCACCTGTCTGCTCCACCAGGGCACTGAGATGGCCGACATAGGGCGGCCTCTGGCAGGGGGGACCAGATGGGAGGCCTGCCAAGGACTGCTCTCTTGGAAGGAGCTTTGTCTCCCTGCCCAGTGGTAGGGGGAGGGGGAGGAAGCTTCCAGAGTCATCTGAGGAAGCAGGCGAGGGATTCCCCCTGCGCTCAGGGGATAGGGGACCCCCTGGTTCCTCCTACCCATTCCCCTTTCCCCCGCTCCGGCCCAGCCCTCAGAGCCTAGGAAGGGCCACCCTGGTTGAGGCCAAGTTCACATTTCTGTGTGGAGCCTGGGGCTGTGTGCAAAGCCCAGGGCCTACAGAGCCAAGAATAGTGGTTATTGGTGGGCCTGACTGAGCCAGTCCTCCTCTGTGCAGTCCTGAGGAAGGAGGGCCCAGCCGGGGGCCTGGACCCCAAAGGGGTAGACTCTGTTCTTGAGAGATCCCTACCAAGGGCTGGCCAGATGCCCAGCCTGCCTCTTCTCCGGGTCCTCTTTGGTCCCTATCCTAGACCCAGGGCCCTACTCAGGCTCCTTGGCGTGACTGTCAAGGGGCCGTTCTCTGGCCCCAACTACCTGCCCAAAGGCTCTCTGAAGCCCCCGGGAATGGGTACTGTGGCCAGAGGTTTAGAAGAGAACCAGGTCCGAAGGGCAGGGTGGGCGGGCAGATCCGTTCTGAAGCCTTAGAGATTCATAGGTTCCTCCTCTTCCACCAGCTGTTGTGAGGGCCTGAGGGAGAGACAAAGACTGAGACGCTGGAGGGCCGGGGGCTGCAGGAAGGGCCTCTCTTCCCAAGAAGCCCAAGAAGGCTGGGATGGCCGTGCCAGGATTGGGGATCATCAAGTTCTAAGGGTCTGAAGGGTGGAGAGACGGTCGGCCAGGGGTCGGGCATTACCGCTCTTCAGCCAGGATGCCCACGGAGAGGGATGCCAGCGCTGTCACTGCCTCCACTTCTTCTGTGTCGGCTCCCGGGCCCCTGGGCACCCAGGAGTCCGGACAGGAGGCCAGGCGCTGCATGCAGCCCCAGTATTTACCTGCGGCAAGAAGCTGGGTCAGAAAGGGCTGGGGAAGTGAGCCCTGGCACCCTGTCACACCGCATCCTAGACTGATATCGAGGCTGGCCCTCTCAGGCCAAGGGCTTGACAGCAGTGGGCATGTCCTCAGTTTGGGGTCAGCGCTCTCACCTCCCTCCACCATTCACAGAAGACCTTCCCCTACTTGGCCCCCTGCAGCCCTGACAGCATACGTGGACCAGATGCATCGTGGCTATGAGGGGGGGCCCAGCAGGTGCCCATGCCATTCTCCCCACCTCTTTGGGTGAAAGACCACCTCTGGTGGCCACACCAGGAATGGGATTCCTCAGAGCACTAGTAGGGCTCAGTTTCCCCTAGATGGGGTCTGTGTCAGAGTCACCTCACAAATCTCAAGCTCCAGCCTCCTGGAACACAGGATCTTACTCTTGTGCAGTCCCCAGCAATGCTCAGCCCAGCGTGGGGGCCAGGACGGCATGCCAGGTGGGGAGGACACGGCACAGAGAGTAGGCCAGCACCGTGGCCGCTCCGTGTGGCTGTTGGCAAGCTGCTTACCCGCCCTGGGCTTCCACTGCCCCCGCTAGGCCATGGACATGACCATCCTGCCGACGGTCGTAAGAAAAAATGTCCACGGGACATGCCCCTCCCAGAAGCTGGCCCAGCGCGTGAAGACTCCGTGCAAAGTACCAGTGGCGTCTTTGCTGGTAGGTATACTCCCCATACTGGCCCCTGGCTGTGGGGAAATCTGTTTTATTCACTTTTCTATCCCTAGCATTGAACATGGGCCTTGACATAAAGCGCTCCAGAGATGCCAAGTTGAAGGTGAAAAGTTTAAGTGCTTTCCAAATGTGAGGTTATTCCATGACCAGCCCCTGAAGCAGGCAGCGCTCCCAAGATCCCCGGAGCCGGGACTGAGGGTCAGGGCAGGAGGCAGCGCTTTTGGCAAAAGGCCTAATTATTGAGACTGGCCTGGCCCTGGCCTAGGGCTGTGGCTGGAGATGGGTGGCCAGTCCTGCCTGGAGGAGGCAGGGGGTCCCTGCTGACTGGTAGTCCCCGCTGCATCCTTCTGGAGGGCTCAGAGTATGGGATGGGGAGGGAGGCAGTCCCACCATTCCTGCTGAATGTGTCACTGCAGCACTGCAAGCCCGGGGCCCAGGTTACTGAGGATGTCTCCCAAGTCTGGGGGCAGCGGGCACCTTCTCTCCATACTCACTGTGCACCCGGATCACGGCTTCCAAAGAGCGGATGGCGTTGAGGTTGGGTTTCTGTTTCCAGCTTTCTTCTGAGAGAGGATCCACCTACAGAAGAAAACAGCACATCAGCCAGCAGTCTCCCACCCCAGGGGCCCTGGCTTCCCAGGCACAGGTATCCGTGTACTCCTGGCTCTGCCCAAGGCTAGAAACATGGTCCTAGACTTGACCTGGGGAAGGGGCACCCACTCAGTACCCCTCATTCCAGGCCTGCTGCTCCTGCCCTCCCTGTGAGCCCTCCAGGAGGCACCCCATCTGCCTGCCCTTTGGGGCGGTCCTGGGGGAGCCAGGCTCCCTGCCCTATAGATGCACAGATGGGGGGCAGACAACTCACCTTGTTGCCCAGAAGAGCAGCCACACAGGCCTCAGAAGCGTCACAGATGGCTGTGAGGTCATGGCCACCTTCCAAGGCCAGCACCACTGCACCTCCCGCCAAGCTCATCAGCTGCTGTGTCATGTACCCAAAACCTAGCCAATTGAGTGGGGAGGAAGAGGAGAGGTGGGGCTGCAGGGGAGGCGGACTCTCTCTACCTCTGTGATTGCCCTGCTTGCTTCCTCTTTTATAAATGGTCATCAGACACATACACCTCTACTTCTTCAAGTACTACTCCTATTTCTTGCGCGGACTCCCACACAAAAGCTACCGGAAGCTTCAGGCGCGGCTGGCAGAGCTTAAGGGACTGGACTTGCATAAGGGCCACAGCAAGGAAGCGGCAGGGCCAGGACTGGAGCTGGGGGCATCGACTCTGGCCTATCTTCTCCACGAGTTTCACCATCTCCTCTGTCTCCCGAGCCCTGGGGCCCAGCAGGCTGAGCGGGCTCCCTCTGTTCCGAGAACACTGCTCCTTCCCATCCCCGCCGCTAGAAACTGCCAACCCAGTCTAGGATGGCACAATGGGGGTGTGTGTTAGAGGGGGTCCTATGGCTGAGCTTTTGGGCTGCCAGACCTAGTCCGCGGAGTATAACTTGGGCCTCCCACGGAATGAGAACGGGCTCCACGCAGGGCTGGGCTGAGAGGGCCCAGGGAATGCCAGGGCCAGCCGCCACACCCCAGTCATAGCCCTGGGCCGGCCACTGCCACCTTCCCCTGCACTTGAGCAGTGCCTCCCCTTCCAGCCTGGCCCCCATTCCCTGCCCCACACCCTGGGCCGGGCCCTCCTTACATTTAGCGGAAACATGGTAGCCACCCAGCGGGGCCGGGTGACCCTCGGCAGCATCAAACCCAGCCGACACCAGAACCAGGTCCGGAGAGAACTCTCGGGCAATGGGCATCACCACCATCCTGTGAAAGGTGCCGGATGTGGGGGCTCATCACGCTGTGCGCCAGGGGCACTCGCCCTCTCCCACCTGATTTACTATGTGCACCCTCTTCTTAGGATTCCTAGGCGCCCAGTAATAGCAGGATGAATGGATCCCTTGACCACCTTGACTTGGCTGGCCACCCATGTCCCTACACAGCCTGAGAACTCAGCTACCTAGAGCTCCTGACTGGCAAGAGACAGAAGGAGTCAAGGATGGGACAGAAAGGGAAGGGAAGAGGAGTGTGTGTGTGTGTGTGTGTGTGTGTGTGTGTGTGTCTGCAGGGGTGTGGTGGGCAGGGCCTTGGTGGGGCAGGTCCCTAAGCCTCAGGGACTAGAAACCCGATACTTGGCTGCCACCCACTTTGGACTGAGTTGACCGCATCTGACCACTTGTTACCTGAGAGCTGACTCCCTTGAGGTCCTGGGCCACCCAGATCCATTCTCTCATCCTGTGCCCCTGCTGGCCCCCCACAGCTGCCTCCCTCCATCCCTCACCCAACTCTGAGGTCCATTGTGACGTCTTTCAAGGCCCTGGGCTCAGGGCACACAGACACCAGGAACCCCAGTCCAGCTCTCATGGAGAGGATTTCCAGAAAAGTATTTGAGACCTACTTCTAGGGCTCTTTTCCCAAATGCAGTACGGGGACCCCAGAGTGAAACATATAAGGGCTCCGAAACAGAGCCCAAAGCCCCTCGTCTAGAGTGCCTTTTCTTCAGCAATCTCCAAAAACAGGGATCACCTGCTTTGTCTCTTTCTCCACAATATAAATTAATTCTCTCTGTGCAAAGCCCACCTCCTCCAGGCAGCTTTCTTTGACTGAATGTGGCAGCTGTGCTCCCTCCACCCTGCCTTTTTCCCAGCATTCAGTTCAACACTGGCTCTTGGTAACATGTGACTTTATAAAGCACCCTTGACTTTTTCATTCTGAGTTTCCTGTCTTCTCGTGGGGGCTGGAAGCTCCTAGAGAC